CTTGTCCCCATGTCACCTGAAATCAATTTGGCCAGAAGTTTTCTTGTCCTGCTTCAGTCATTCATTGTGAGGTTTTTTTCCTTACATGAAAACTTGGTTCTTTTTTAAGTGGGAGGGGTGTTGGAGTCAGCTTTGCATTGCTGTAATAAAATAAGTAAGATAATCAACTTAAGGGAGGAAAGGTTTTTTTTGGCTCTTGCTTTCAGAGGTTTGTTTGTGATTGCTTGGCTGTGTTGCTTTGGGGCCTGTGGTGAGGTTGTATGTCATGTCAGGAGCTTGTGGCAGAGAGTACTGCCCGCCTTGGATGCCAAGGGGCACAAAGGAAAAGGAAAGGTCCAGGGTCCCAACATCTCTTTAAAAGGGCCCACCCCCAACCTGACTTCTTTCTACCAGGCCTCTCCTCCCAGTAGCGCTGTCAGCTGGGGATCATCCTTCAACACATGAGCCTCTGGGGACATTCAGAATCCAAATTGTAACAGGAATTACCAAGGGGTCATATTCTTTGGACGTATTCATAGGCTGCTAAATAATTTAGGTTCAAATTGTCCTCTTGGTACTCATTGTTAGGAGATATGAAATTTTTTAATTCTGAAGCAACTTAACATAGAAAATTCAGCTTCCAAACTTGTATTCTTAATCTGACTGTCTAGATTTTCAATTTATTTAAAAGTCTTTCAAAAAATTTTTATGGTTCTTATCTTGATGTCAGTAAATTTTTTTCATTGTTGATGATACCAGTTAAATAATTTTGTTTCATATCTTTAAGTCTAATACTAGTAATGAGATGAAGCTCCGATCACTGAAGGATATTTATCATAAAAAGCAAAGGGAAAACAAGCAGTTACCTGAGAGGAATCTCACTTCTGCTTCCAACCCAAACCATCTTCCAGAGGTAGAGCTGTCACTGCTGAGTGGAAATGAAAGATGCTTCTGACGCTGACTCTTACCGTGAGCTTCCTTGTCCCCAGGAGGTGTAAAGCCTACTCACTGAAGGCGAGCAAAATGCCTGAGTGTGCCAAGGGAAACTTCTGGTTGTCTGTCTTATTTCTAGGTCCTTACTCTAGATCCGACGTTGCATATGAAGCCAAATCAGCAGATTTCGGGGATTCAACCACATGGCTTTTTGAATGCTCTTGATGACAGAATATCCTTTTCACCAGACTCTGTTCTGGAACCAAGTGTATCTAGTCACTCTGACATCGACTCATTTTCACAAGCAAGCAATATCACTTCTCAGTTATCCGGATTTCCAAAATATCCTTCAAATGCAAAAGCCTCATCAATGGACTCTTGGAAGAATCATGCATTCCAAAGTGAAAGTAGGACCAGTTCCACATTTCCTTCAGTGTACACTATGACGAGTAACAATATCTCAGTCAACACTGTAGATGAAGAGAACACTGTCATGGTAGCGTCGGCCTCAGTCAGTCAAGCCCAGCTTCCAGATGCAGCCAACAGTGTCCCAGAATGCATTTCATTGACTTCCCTGGAAGATCCCGTGATATTGTCTAAGTATGTATTTCAGTGACAGCTTGTAATGTTAACAGATTTTCTGTGATGTCTGATTGAATGATGAGAATGATTTTTTTTAATATTGTTTTTTAGTTGTTTATTTATTAAATAAAATTTAATAAATTTTATTTATTTATTTTTATGTGGTGCTGAGGATCGAACCCAGCACCTCACATGTGGTAGGTGAGCGCTCTACTGCTGAGCCACAACCCCAGCCCTGAGAATTATTTTTATTGAACTTTAGTAATGTATAAAGATTTAAAGATATAGCATTTTTAAGGTAAAGCATCTAAAAACTAAGTAATCTGTCTTTTTCACTTTATTGTCAGCTTTTGGGGGATTAGAGACAACTGCTGACATAGCCAGTAAATGGGGGATTGAACTCAGGGGCACTCGACCACTGAGCCACATCCCCAGCCCCCTATTTGAAAAGTTTTGATGGTTTTGCTTATGAGCAGGCAGTGACCATTATGTCACAACTGTTATTTGACTTAAAGCAATTGAAAGATGCCATTAATTACCGGAGGCATTCTCACTTCAGAATATTAAAATATGAAAGAAAAGAATATTATAAAAGTAGTGAAAATAGCACCTTATTGTCATGAGCTCTAAGTGTGAATGCCAGCTGCTCACTCAGGCCACCAGGCGGGGACTCTTCAGGCTGTAGCCTATAGCTGGAGTGCTGCTACTTGTCATGAACTTCAGGACTTGTGAAGGGCCTTATGGTCACTGAGTAGAATTCCAAAACAGGATTATGGGAATTGTACATTGTAAAGGTTTAGTTTTTAACAGATTAATGTCTTTAATGCATGCATAAAAAGTATAATTAATTGTCCTGTTCAAAAGCTAGTTATAGGTTTTATTTATTTATTTAAAGTTGTTGATAGACCTTTATTTTATTTATGTATTTATATGTGGTGCTGAGAATCAAACCCAGTGCCTCACACATGCCAGGCAAGTGTGCTACTGCTGAGCCCCAGCCCCTGGTTATAGGTTTTATTAAAAAATATTAATTCATAGTAAGCCAGGTGAGATGGGACATGTGGTCCCACCTACTTGGGAGGTTAGGTAGAGAATTGGTAATCCCAGGAATTTGAGGCCATCCTGGGCAACATAAAAACAGAAAGGATTCCTGGTACGCTGCAGGCTTTGTAGGTCTGGAAATGAGACATAAGCTCAAAGGTGTATGATGAGTATCCTATCAGTAGATTTCTTGATGGATCTATAATTTCATTTGTGGTAACATCCACAGTTTAAATTTGAGGCCTAGGTTTAATTGGTACCTGTGTCACAACCTATGGGTCCCACCTTGAAATAATACAACCCTAAAGATTTACCATTTAAAGCTTTATAGTAATTCTGTGACATTTATAGCATAGTAAAGCCCTTGAGCCATATCCCCAACTGTTTTTATTTTGAAACGGGTCTCACTA